CTTTGGAGGTCTCTTGGGACCCTCTTGGGGGCCTCTTGGGGGCCTTTTGGGCTTTCCTAGCCCCTCTCGGTGCCGTCTTGGGGCACCCTGGAGAGCCTCGGGGCCATCTTGGAGCCATCTTGGAGGAGATCGATCAAAGGAGGGACCGTAGTACATTAGCATCCTCCCCCCCAGGAGGCCAACATGTTGCCAAAACCTTAGTATTCTCAATGGTTTTCGTCTTCTCGCCGAGGCCTCTTGCGGCGTCTGCCTCTTGGAAGCATCTTGGGGGCCTCTTGGGGGCCTCTCGGGGCCTCCTTGGCACCCTTTGGGGCCGTCTTGAGGCACCCTTGGGAGGAGCCTCGGGGATCATCTTGGGGCCAGTTTGGAGGAGATCGATCAACGAACGCCTTAATTTGGTTCCCCCTCAAGAGGCCAACATGTGGCCAAAACCTTAGTCGTATCACTGATTTGGGTCTTCGGAGGCGTCTTGGGTGCCTCTGGGGGGGCTCCTGGGGCGTTTTGGGAGTCTCTCTGAAGACTCTTGGAAACATCTTGGGGTCCTCTTGGGGCCTCCTGGGCACCTCTTGGGGCTGTCTTAGGGCACCCTTGGGAGCCTCGGTGGCCATCGTGGGGCCATCTCTGAGGAGGTCGTTCAAAGGGGGGCCTGCAGTACATTCGCCCCCTCCCCCCCTCCCAAGATGCCAGCATGTGGCCAAAATCTGAAGTAAACGCAGTGAGTAGGGCTTCCTCGCCGAGGCCGTTGTGCGCTTGAACCCCTGGCGACCCCTCTCCCGGACCCAGGGGGTCGGGGCAGGGGGAGGGGTCAGGCTGCCCTCCTGGAGAGCAGGCCGTCTGGCTCACTCCCACCCGCCCCCTCAGTACACGAGTAGCCTCCCCATTGCCAGCACATCGCTTTAGGAGCGCCGCACATGCCATGCGCGCCACGGGCTCCAGAAGCACCGGGCACCCTGGAGGCCCAAGCATGCCAGGTGCGGCACTTGCCCCGCGCGCGCCCACTGTGCCGCGTGCTGCGGCCGCGCCGGGCGCGCCAGCTGCGGTGGAACCGAAAGGGACCCCTGGTGCCCGGGGCCCCGGCCCCGAGGAGTTCTGGACCTCGAGCCCCCCCCCGGAAGCGGAGGTGCCGAGCGTTCTTGGGAGAAGGGCGGCTCTCCCAGGGAGCGCAAAGCACCTGCCCCGAATGACACATTGTGACATCTCGAGGAGTCGTGAAGCAGATGAGGGCGCAGAGAAAAAGGGGAGAGCTCAGAGGCAAAAGGGCCCTACGCATGCTCCAGATTTGGAGCCACAGTGTATTCTGCATTGTTTTTGAGAGGGATGGTTGGCCTCTTCGCAGAGCCCCCCCCGCTGTCCCTGTCAAAAACCATTGCAAAGTGGTCGCGTGGCGCCCGCGAGCGCGCCAGATTTGGAGGCAAAATGAAGGTTGTAGTGTTTTTACAAGGGATGGTGCGGGGGTGGGCTCTTTGGTCTGGGTTGGCTGTCAGTCGCCTGGGGGAGGGCGTGTTCACTGACAGGGAACAAAGGAGGGGGTTGGAAGAGGAAACTCTCAAAGCCACTCATGCCCGAAAGGGCTGGTGGCTGGTGGGATTCTGGGTCGGGTCTCTCAAAGAATCCTCCGGTTGGAGGGCAGAGGCTCCAGGGGATCCAACAAGGGACTTGAGCATTCCAGCTCCTGCCTCAAGAGCACGGTGCCAGATACACATACATCTACATACATTTACACATATCTCTCTCTCTATATATATATATATACAGATATATATATACATATATATATATGTGTACATCTATTCTTGGCGTCGGTGTGCTAGTACTTTTTTGTGTGTCGCAGCCTTGTTCTTGCTGCTGCTGGAAGGACATGCTCAAGCAGCTGGAGAAGGAGGCGGAGGAGGATGAGGACGCGCCCTCGCCTTCCGTCTGCTGCCAACGCGAAGTACAGTGTACAGACTGGCAGTGGTGAAACTTTGTAGGCCCCTCTCAACCTTACGATTTGTGTATAGCCCTCCCTGGAGATTCTGGTGTTGCAATTTTTTCCACACCTGTTTTTTTTATCCAGTTTCGGTCTCCAGGACCATGCAGATCGATCCCGCTCGAAAAATGCAGCGGAACGGTCTTGAGCTCCGGTCGTGATTTTCGCGATGGAAGAAAGAGGGGAGGAGGAGGAGGGGGGGGTGGGGGAGGAGGACGAGGAAGAAAGAGCGGAGGAGGAGGGGGAGGGGGTGGGGGAGGAGGGTGAAACATTGGGAAGGAGGCCGAGGCGGGGGCGGAAGACGACGACGCAGAGCACGAGAATGATAAGTGAAACAGGAGGAGGAGGAGAAGGAGGACGAGGAGGTTTAGCTCCCGCGGTCTGCCTGGGCAAGAAGGAAGAGGAGAAAAAGGGAAGTGGTGGACATCGTGGAAACGCTGGCTTCGAAGTGCGTTTGGGCATGCGACTGTTCCAGCCGAAGCCGTTCCCACTGTTTATCGGAGCGGCCAGCATCTGCTCCATGCTGCGCTCGCCTGCCCAATTGTCACTGCGGATCCACGTCCGTGACGGGCATTCCTCCCGCCATATCCTGCTATCGTGTGCTGGACATTCCCGCTGCGTCTTTGCTTGATGTGAATATACGTGTATATAGGTGCGCATGTACATCTGTGCACGCATGTGTATTCCACATTGTATATCCTTTATATATATATATACATTGCCCCGGCAACCGGGGTTCCCACTTTGAGCCGGCGCCGAAGACGCTATTTGAAGACGCTATTCCCTGTGAAGACGCGTCCCTGTGCAGACGCTATTCCGGGTGAAGACGCTACTCCGCGAGAAGACGCTATTCCCTGTGAAGACGCTATTGCCGGGTGAAGACACTATTCCTTGTAAGGACGCTATTCCCTGTGAAGACGCTATTCCCTATGAAGACGCTACTCCGGGTGAAGACGCTATTCCCGGTGAAGACGCTATTCCCGGTGAAGACGCTATTCCCGGTGAAGACGTTATTCTTTGTACGGACGCTATTCCCGGTGAAGACGCTAATTCCTTGTGGAGACGCTAATTCCCGGTGAAGACGATATTCCCGGTGAAGACGCTATTCCGGGTGAAGACGCTATTCCTTGTAAGGACGCTATTCCCTGTGAAGACGCTATTCCCTATGAAGACGCTATTCCCGGTGAAGACGCTATTCCCGGTGAAGACGCTATTCCCGGTGAAGACGCTATTCGCGGTGAAGACGTTATTCTTTGTACGGACGCTATTCCTTGTGAAGACGCTATCGCCGGTGAAGACGCTATTCCTGGTGAAGACGCTATTCCTGGTGAAGACGCTATTCCGGGTGAAGACGCTATTCCCTGTGAAGACGCTATTCCGGGTGAAGACGCTATTCCCAGTGAAGACGTTATTCCCGGTGAAGACGCTATTCCCTGTTCGGACGCTAGTCCGCGTGAAGACGCTATTCCCTGTGAAGATGCTTCTTCTCTTCACCAGGCCCAGTACTCAACGCGCTCCCCTCCCATATGTAATTTGAAAGTGCGATTTTACTTTACGCTTTCCGTGTCCAACACAACACGTGCCCCATCTGTTGTGCGACACCCTCAGCTAGGCAATACCCTTGCCAAGTTGTTTAAAACAGAATCCTTGGTGCCAAACATGCCCCATCTGCTGTGCAACACCCTCTGCTGGGCAAGACCCCTCCTGGAGGACCCCTCCCCAAGTTGATCAAAATAGAATCCTTGGTATTGGACTCGCCCCATCTGCTGCGCGGCACCCTCTGCTACTCAGGACACTTCTTCATGTTGATTAAAAGAGAATCTTTGGTGTTAGACGTGCCCCATCTGCTGTGCGGTACCCTCTACTAGGCAAGACCCCTTCCCCAAGTTACTTAGAAACTTATCCTTGGTGCTAGATGTGCCCCTTTGCTCTTTGGCACCCTCTGATAGGCAAGAGTCCTCCCCAAGTTGATTAAAACAACACAACTGTCACAACTCCTTGGTGCTAGATGTGCCCCATCTGCTGTGCGGCACTTTCTGCTAGGCAAGACCCCTCCCCAAGTTAATGAAACAAATAATCCTTAGTGCTAGACGTACCCCATTTGCTGTGCGGCACTCTCTGCTAGGCAATGGCCCTCCCCAAGTTGATTAGAAAAGAATCCTTGGTGCTAGACGTGCCCCATCTGCTGTGCGGCACCCCCTGCTAGGCAAGACCCCTCCCCAAGTCAATTAGAAAAGAATCCTTGGTGCTAGGCGTGCCCCACCTGCTGTGCGGCACCTTCTGCTAGGCAAGACCTCTTCCCAAGTTGATTCAAAAAGAATCCTTGGTGCAAGACGTGCCCCATCTGCTGTGCGGCACCTTGTGCTAGGCAAGACCCCTCCCCAAGTTGATTAAAACATAATCCTTGGTGCTAGATGTGCCCCTGTGCTGTGCGGCACCCTCTCCAAGGTGAGCCCCTTTGCTGTGCTGCACCTTGTGCTAGGCAAGACCCTTCCTCAAGATAATGAAACCATAATCCCTGGTGCTAGATGTGCCCTTTTGCTGTGCGGCACCCTCTGATAGGCAAGACTCCTCCCCAAGTTAATTAAAACAGAATCCTTGGTGCTAGACATGCCCCTTTGCTGTGCGGCACCCTCTGATAGGCAAGAGCCCTGCCCAAGTTGATTAAAACAACACAACTCCTTGGTGCAAGACGTGCCCCATCTGCTGTGCGGCACCTTGTGCTGGGCAAGACCCCTCCCCGAGTTGATTAAAACAGAATCCTTGGTGCTAGATGTGCCCCTTTGCTGCGCGGCACCTTGTGCTAGGCAAGACCCCTCCCAAAGTTGATGAAAACAGAATCCTGGGTGATAGACATGCCCTTTTGCTGCGCGGCACCCTATGCTAGGCGAGACCCCTCGCCAAGCTGATTAAAACATAATCCTTGGTGCTAGACATGCCCTGTTGCTGTGCGGCACCCTCTTATATGCAAGACCCCTCTTCAAGTTAATTGAAAAAGAATCCTTGGTGCTAGACGTGCCCCATCTGCTGTGCGGCACCCTTTGTTAGGCCTGCCCACCAATTAGGCGTTTAAGAAGCACCACGGTCGCGCGCAGCTAGCCTAGCTGTGCACCCCGGAGGATGAGGCCGAGGCGAAATAGAAACGTCAAGCCGAATAGAGGCGTCACGAGCTTCACCACCGGGCGTCAGGGGAATAGAGGCTTTAGGCCAAATAGAGGCTTCACGAGCTTCACCGGGTGTCAGGGGAAGAGAGGCTTCAGGCCGAATAGAGGCTTCACAAGCTTCACCCAGCGTCAGGGGAATAGAGGCTTCAGGCCGAATAGAGGCCTCACGAGCTTCAATGGGCGTCAGGGGAAGAGAGGCTTCAGGCCGCATAGAGAATTGACGAGCTTCACCGGGCGTCAGGGGGCCGAATAGAGGCCTCACGAGCTTCAACGGGCGTCAGGTGAATAGAGGCTTCAGGCCGAATAGAGGCTTCACGAGCTTAAATGGGCGTCAGGGGAATAGAGGCTTTAGGCCAAATAGCGGCTTCACGACCTTCAATGGGCGTCAGGGGAATAGAGGCTTCAGGCCGAACAGAGGCTTCACGAGCTTCAATGGGCGTCAGGGGATCAGAGGCTTCAGGCCGAATAGAGGCCTCACGAGCTTCAATGGGCGTCAGGGGAATAGAGGCTTCAGGCCGAATGGAGGCGTCTAGGGTCGCCACCCCGCCAGTGCGTCGCAATTCGTAGGCCGAGTAGAGGCCTCACGTGCCGAATGCAGGCTTCAGGCCGAATAGAGGTATCAGGCCGAATAGAGGCTTCACGAGCTTCAACGGGCGTCAGCGAAGTAGAGGCTTCAGGCCGAATAGAGGGTTCACGAGCTTCACCAGGCGTCAGCGGAATAGAGGCGTCACCGCAGCTCCTTGGGCGAATAGAGTCTTCAAATAGCGTCTTCGGCGCCGGCTCGAACGGGGAACCCTTCGAGCCAGGCCCCTGTATATATATACACACGTGCTTGCATCTGCAATTTGTATGCATGCACGTATGTATGCGTGTATGCATTTTTGTAGCATGCATGCATGCATGCATGCATGTGTATGCATGTACACATATATTTGTATGATTACAGGTATACGTGTGTGTATAATCATGCGGGTATGTAGATGTATATGAATGTGTATATGTATCGGTGTATGTAATTGTGCATATGTACATGCATGTGTGTGCATGTATCTAAATTTGCGTATACATGTATGCATATGTGTGTGTATGGGTATACATGTACTTGTATTTTCATGCATGTATGTATTTATACAGGTATGCATATGCGCCTGTATGTCCATATGTTTATGTATATGTATATGTACACGTAAATGTATCTGTAGACGTATACGTATATATATATGTATATATGTTTGCGCATGCATTTGTACATTATATGCATATCTACATATATGTATGTATGTATATGTGTGTGTGCACGTATCTAGAGATACGTATCATTGTAGGCATATGTACACTTTTGTGTATACATGTATTCGTAGACGTATGTTTATGTCTATGCATGTCTAACTGTATGCATGTATGTATGTATGTATGTATGTATGCATGCATGTATGCATGTATGTGTGTGTGTATGTATGTATGTATGTATGTATGTATGTATGTATGTATGTATGTATGTATGTATGTATGTATGTATGTATGTATGTATGTATATATGTATTCATGTTTGTATAACTGATAGTCCGCCTGCATGTATGTATGTATGTATGTATGTATGTATGTATGTATGTATGTATGTATGTATGTATGTATGTGGGTGTGTGTATGTATGTATGTATGTATGTATGTACGTACGTACGTACGTACGTACGTACGTACGTATGTATGTATGTATGTATGTATGTATGTATGTATGTATACACAAATGTGTGTACATATATATATATATATAGATATCTAGATCCGTAAGGGCTTCGCCCCATGCCGCCGGCCCCCTGTCTCGGATAATGGGAGATGCAAAAGCTAAATCATGAGGTCTGGGCGCCGCCGTGAAGCAGTGTCGGGACCTGTTTATTTTTCGACCCTGACCCCGCCGATCTGCGTGAGGGGTGCCACCGAATTTCAGGAATGTTGCAAATCCTGTAGTGTTTTTGGACCTTGGCCTCGCCGATTTGCATGAGGGGTGCCACCGAATTTGAGAAATGCGACGCATCCCATCTGGTTTTGGACCCTGACCCCGCCGATATGCGTGAGGGGTGCCACCGAATCTCAGAAATGTGACACATCCCTTGTGTTTTTGGACCCTGACCCTGCCGATCTGCGTGAGGGGTGATACCGAATTTCAGGACTGTGGCAAATCCCATGTGTTTTTGGACCCTGACCCCGCCGATCTGCGTGAGAGGTGCCACCGAATTTCAGAAATGTGGCAAATCCCATGTGTTTTCGGACCCTGACCCCGCCGATCTGCTTGAGGGGTGCCACCGAATTTCAGACATGTTGCAAATCCATTCTGTTTTTGGACCCTGACCCCGCCGATTTGCGTGAGGGGTGCCACCGAATTTCAGACATGTGGCAAATCCCATGTGTTTTTGGACCCTGACCCCGCCGATCTGCGTGAGGGGTGCCACCGAATTTCAGAAATGTGGCACATCCCATGTGTTTTTTGACCCTGACCCCGTCGATCTGCGTGAGGGGTGCCACTGAAGTTCAAACATGAGACAAATCCTTTGTGTTTATGGACCCTGACCCCGCGGATCTGCGTGAGGGGTGTCAATTTCCCCCCCCCAGGAATTCTGAGAACCCTCCCAGGGAGAGGTAGTTCTGCTGTTTCGGGCTCTCCCCCCTCGCGCGTTCATCAACAAGGAACAGTAAGCGGCAAGAAGAATAATTGTAACAGTGGAGACTGGAAGCTGCAACTGGTACAGGGAGCAGCGCATTCCCAGCTTACAGCCTGGTGGCCCCGCAAGGGGGCCGGCGGATATATATATATATATATATATATATATTACACATGTATGTGTATATGTGTATGTATACGTCGATGTAGATGTGTATGTCAATGTAGACGTCGGAGGTTGGGGTGAGATTGCAGTGGGACGGAGACACCCAACGGGGCAATCGTTTCGTTTCGTTCGTGTCGTGCGTGCGGGCGAGGCGAAGCTGCGTGGGCGCGCGAGAGGAATGAACCCACCGTTGCTAGGGCGAAGTCAAGACAAATGATTCTCCCCCGTCCGTCCGTCCGTCCAGCGATGGTCCTAGCGGTGTCCCGCGGTGTCCCGCGGTGTCCCGTGGTGTCCCGTGGTGTCCGCCGTTGCTAGGGCGAAGTCAAGACATATGATTCTCCCCTGTCCGTCCGTCCGTCCGGCGGTGGCCCGCGGTGTCCCGCGGTGTCCCGTGGTGTCCCGTGGTGTCCCGTGGTGTCCGCCGTTGCTAGGGCGAAGTCAAGACAAATGATTCTCCCCCGCCCGCCCGTCCGTCCGTCCGTCCGGCGGTGTCCCGTGGTGTCCCGTGGTGTCCCGTGGTGTCCCGTGGTGTCCTGTAGTGTCCCCTGGTGTCCCGTTGAGTGAGATCGCTAGTGGGATCGATAGTGAGATCGATCGTGAGAGCGACAGGTGTCCCGTGGTGTCCCTTGGTGTCCCGTTGAGTGAGATCGATAGTGACATCGATAGTGAGATCGATATGGTGTCCCGTGGTGTCCCGTGGTGTCCCCAAAAGTGAGATAGAAGTTCTGTGAACGTGCATCCTGAGTGAGCGAGAGGGTCTCCGCCATCGTTTCAGCCGGTTGAGTTGCATCCGTGTCCGATGCCTTCAATGCTCAAGTCTCTTGACGGATCTGGTCCAGATCGGAGGCGTCCTCCGCGAGCTGTCCCATCTCTCACTCCACCTTCGCTCTGCCTTGCAATCTTGCCCTCCGTGCCCTTCGCTCCACTGCCCGGACGTGGCCTGCGGCTCGCTGACCTGCGCCGCGGGGGTGCCCGTGGAGCCCGTGGACTGCCCTGCGGCGGCCGCGCGCTCCTGGGTGCCGACAGCATTGGCTTTCGCCGCTGGCATCCTGGTGGGGCTGCTGGCGGACCGCGTGGCGCGCTGGGTCCTGGGGCCCGCCGCCGCCCGCCGCGCGACCCCCGCTGAGGGGCTGCTCGCGGTGGGAGCGGACGGAGGCGAGACAGCGGAGCCGCTGACCGCCGAGCGCCGCGCCGCGCAGGAGCGCCGTCGCCATGCTGGCTCGACCGGCGCTGGAAGGGGCTCGTGGAGGGCACCAGGCTGCTGGTGCTCTACCATGGCGACGGCTGCTACCACGAGCGGCTGCTGCGCCAGCCGGTGAGCCGCTCAGCAGGGCTTTGGGTGGCCGCCACGCCCGACTTCGCGGCGTACGACGAGATCTACTCGGACGCGGAGGTCTTCCGCCGCGTGTCGGTGCTGCCGCCGTCGCGCGCGCTGCCGGGCGGTATCCGCGAGGCGGACGCGTGCCTCTTCTACGACGGCAGGACGAGGACGGGCGACATCGCGCCCTCGCTGGTGCAGCGGCTCATCGCGCGAGCCGACGCCGACCGCAGCGGGATGGGGACCCCGGTCGAGCTCGCTGCCGGAGCCGAGGCGCTGGCCGCGACCGCCGGGGCGGCACAGTCGGCGGCGTCGACACGCCGTTCGACGTCCTTTACCAGAACGGCCGCCCCGCCAACGACGGCTCCAAGTTCTCGGCCGCCCTGCAGTACCTGTGGCCCGAGTTAAAGGCCCAGCGGCAGCTGCCGAGGGCGTGGCGCGCTGTGACAGGGTGGCGCAAGCTCGTGCCCGTCCACAGCCGCACGCCGTTGCCCTACCGCGGGCTGATGGGGCTGATCGGCGGGCTGCTCTGGTTTGGCTTCCTCGAAGTGGCGATCGCCATCCTGATCGCCTTCACGGCCTACTTGCGCCCGGGCGAGCTGTTCGCCCTGTCAGCCGGGTCGCTTGTGCCACCAGTCGCAGGCAAAGGAGGCTCACCGTTCTGGGGAATCATTCTGGGCGCCCGCGAGCGTGGCCGCGCAAACAAGACAGGCGAGTACGACGAGAGCGTGATGCTGGACTGGGCGGGCTTCGGATGGCTCGGCAACATCCTGCAGCTGCTCAAAGACCAGCGGGCGACGGGCCCTCTCTGGCCCTTCGACGCAGTGCACTTGACCTCCGTGCTGCACGACGCCGCGCTGGCCAGCGGGGTCCACGTGCTGCGCCCGCAGCTCTACTCCCTGCGCCATGGGGGGGCGTCCTTCGATGCGATCTCGCAGACACGGACTCCCCGAGATCAAGATGCAGGGCCGCTGGCGGACGGCCCTGGCCTCGCGGGAGGCGACCAAGCTGTCTCCAGCCACCGCCCTCTCCGCGCGGACGGTGGAGGAGGGCCTGGCGAGCTTCCTGCAGGGCCGCCGCCCACCTCCGGTGCCGCCGCTGGCCGCTCCCTCTGCCCTGCCGCCTCCGCGCTGAAGCTGCGGATGAAGGCGGAGGTCGCCCGCGCCCGGCGCGAAAGACGCAGTTGGGGCGTCTTCCTGGAGCTCTTCGCAGGGGCCGAGCGGATCGCTATTGGCTGCGTGGCTTGGGCGCCTCCGTCGTGGCCCTCGAGATCGCCGACTGCCCGCTGCAGGATGCGAGCCTGGCTGGAGTGCGCTCGCTGTTGCTCGCCTGGATCCGGCAGGGTTTCATCAGCGGCGCGTGGCTGGGCACGCCCTGCTCGTCATGGAGCGCCGCTCGCCGAGGACAGCCGGGGCGCCCCGGCGGCCCTCGCCGAGCCGCCGGCTGCATTTGGGGGCACCCCCACGCGCTGCAGCGCCCCGCGGACCGTTCGCGGATCGAGGTCGGCAACGCGACGGCCAAGTTCTCGCTGGCCATCATCTTGGCATGCATGACCAAGAAGGTCGCTGTCATCCTGGAGAATTCAGCTGGCTCACTGTCGTAGACCGTGCCTCGGCTGTCCGCGTTGGCCAGCAAGTCAACTGGCTCTTGGGTCATCCTCGACTACTGTCAACACGGCGCCACCTTTCGCAAGCGGACCCGCCTGCAGGCCTGGAACGTGGGCGACCTCGGCCCCCTCCGCCGGGTGTGCTCCGGGCGGCACGGGCTGTGCTCCTGGACCAACAAACGTCGCGTGGTGCTGGAAGGTTCCAAGATGACGTGCGCTGCGGCCGCCTACCCTCAGGTTTTCGCTCGCCAAGCTGCCTCAGTGTTATTTAATTCAGTGCAGTTTGCAAGTTTCGAGCTAATGTGGATATCACTTTCATCCTAGAAGATTTCTGTGGCGGCAAGCCAGATCATGCTATGCGTGTAATTGACGGGCTTCGCAGTTCCAGAGTTCTCGCCTCGGCAGTGTTACCGCAAGCTTCGCCTGCTGTCTCGCTGCGAAGGGCTCGGATCTGCTCTACACAGAAAAATGTTTGCGACTCTGGAGACCCGCAAGGCCCCGCGGAGGATAGAAGTTCTGTGACCGTGCATCCTGAGTGAGCGAGAGGGTCTCCGCCATCGTTTCAGACGGTTGAGTTGCATCCGTGTCCGATGCCTTCAATGCTCAAGTCTCTCCCTCCCCCCTCTCCCTGGCTTTCGCCTTCTAACCGTCGCGGGACGGGCTTCGCAGTTCCAGAGTTCTCGCCTCGGCAGTGTTATCGCAAGCTTCGCCTGTTGTCTCGCTGCGAAGGGCTCGGATCTGCTCTACACAGAAACAATGCATGCGCCTCTGCAGACCCGCAAGGCCCCACGGAGGATCGATAGTGAGATCGATAGAGATCGACAGGTGTCCCGTGGTGTCCCGTGGTGTCCCGTTGAGTGAGATCGATAGTGGGATCAATATTGAGATCGGTCGTGAGATCGATGTGGTGTCCCGTGTTGTCCTACGGTGTCCTACGGTGTCCAGTTGAGTGAGATCGATAGTGAGATAGATAGTGAGACCGATCGCGAGATTGAGAGGTGTCCCGCAGAGTCCCGTGGTGTCCCGTTGCGTGAGATCGATAGTGAGATCGATAGTGAGATCGACAAGTGTCCCGTGGTGTCCCGTGATGTCACGTGGTGTCCCGAGGTGTCCCGGTGAGTGAAATCGAGAGTGAGATCGATTGAGTCAGATGTTGGTTCCCCCCCCTCTCCCCCCCCCACAACCTCCTTCTCGCCCGAATGCTGGTCGTATCGGAGGTGAGGGGGTGAGATCGAAGTGGAACGGAGAGCCTCCCTACCGGGAAATCGATTTCGGTTTCGTGTTCGTGCGTGCCGTGCGTGCGGGCGAGCTGGACCAAATGACTCCCTTCTGGGCGGCCGGTGGCCCGCGGTGTCCCGCCGGTGTCCCGCGAAAGTCCCGTGTGGCTGGGGCGCGGCCGGACCAAATGACTCCCTTCCGGGCGGCCGGTGGCCCGCGGTGTCCCGCCGGTGTCCCGCGAAAGTCCCGTGTGGCTGAGGCGCGGCCGGACCAAATGACTCCCTTCCGGGCGGCCGGGGGCCCGCGGTGTCCCGCCGGTGTCCCGCGAAAGTCCCGCGGTGTCCCGCGGTGCCCCGCGGTGTCCCGCCGGTGTCCCGCGGTGTCCATCGATGATGATGATGGTGATGATGATGATGGTGATGATGATGATGATGATGATGAGACGATGATGATGATGATGATGATGATGATGATGATGATGATGATGATGATGGTGATGGTGATGCTGATTTATGATGATGCTGCTGCTGATGATGATGATGATGACGTCGATGATGATGATGGTGATGCTGCTGATGATGATGATGAGGACGATGATGATGATGATGATGATGATATGATGATGATGATGGTGTCCCGATGATGGTGATAATGTCGATGATGATGATGATGATGACGATGATGATGATGATGCTGACGGTGTCCCGATGATGAAGATGATGATGATCATGATGATTATGTTGATGATCATGATGATGACGATGATGGTGTCCCGATGGTGATGAGTATGATGATGTTGATGTTGATGATGCTGATTATGATTGTGTCCCGATGATGATGATGTTGATGATGATTATGGCGTCCCGATGATGATGATGATGATGATTATTCTGATGGTGATTGTGATGATGTTGATGATGATGGCGCCCCGATGGTGATGATGATGATGTTGATGATGATGTTGTTAATGATGATGATGGTGTCCCGATGATGACGACGATGATGATGCTGATGATGATGTTGATGATGCTGATGATGATGATGATGTCGATGATGAGGATGAGATGATGATGATGATGGTGTTCCGATGATGATGATGCTAACGATGGTGATCATGATGGTGTCCCGATGATGATGCTGCTGATGATGATGATGACGATGACTGTGTCCCGATGCTGCTGATGATGATGATGATGTTGATGATGATGATTGTGATGATGGTGATGATGATGATGGTGGTGTCCCGATGATGTTGATGACCGTGATGATGATGATGATGATGATGATGATGATGATGATGATGTTGGTGTTGATGATGAGGACGGTGTCCCGATTATGATGATGTTGGTGATGATGATGTTGATGTTGATGTTGTTGTTGATGATGATGATGACGTTGATTGTGAGAGCGGTTGTGATATCGATAGTGAAATCGATAGTGAGACCGAATGTGATATCGATTGTGAGATCGATTGTGAGATCGATAGTCAAATCAATTGTGAGATAGATCGAGTGAGATCGATTGTGAGATCGATCGAGGGAGATCGATCGTGCGAGACCGATACTGAGATCGATAGTGAGATCGATAGTGAGACCGATCGAGTGAGACGTTGGTTCCTCCCCCCCCCGAACCTCCTTATCACCCGCAGGGTGGTCGTATAGGTAGGTATACGTATATGTCGGACGTTTGGGGGTGAGATCGCAGTGGAACGGAGACCCATAACCGGGAAGTCGTTTCGTTTCCTTCGTGTCGTGCGTGCGGGCGAGGCGAAGCTGCGTGGGCGCGCGAGAGAGGAGTGAACCCGCCGTTGCTGGGGCGAAGTCGAAACAAATGATTCTCCCTCTCCCGCCCGCCCGTCCGGCGGTGGCTCGCAGTGTCCCGCGGTGTCCCGTGGTGTCCCGTGGTCTCCGCCGTTGCTACGGCGACGTCGAGACAAATGATTCTCCCCCTCCCGCCCGCCCGGCCGGCGGTGGCTTGCGGTATCCCGTGGTGTCCCGTGGTGTCCCGTGGTGTTCCGTGGTTTCCGCCGTGAGTATGGCGAAGTCAAGACAAATGATTCTCCCCCGCCCGCCCGCCCGGCGGTGGCTCGCACTGTCCCGTGGTGTCCCGTGGTGTCTCGTGGGGTCCTGTGGCGTGTGTGCGGGCGAGGCGAAGCTGCGTGGGCGCGCGAGAGGAATAAACCCGCCGTTGCTAGGGCGAAGTAAACACAAATGATTCTCTCCCTCCCGCCCGCCCGCCTGGCGTTGGCTCGCGGTGGCCCGCGGTGTCCCGCGCTGTCCCGTGGTGTCCCGTGGTGTCCCGTGCTGTCCGCCGTTGCTAGGGCGAAGTCAAGATAAATGCTTCTCCCCCTCTCGCCCGCCCACCCGGCGGTGGCTCGCGGTGTTTTGTGGTGTCCCGTGGTGTCCTGTGGTGTCCCGTGGTGTCCGCCGTTGCTAGGGCGAAGCCAAGACAAATGATTCTCCCCCCACGCCCGTCCGGCGGTGGCTCGCGGTGTCCCGTGGTGTCCCGTTGAGAGAGATCGATAGTGAGATCGATAGTGAGATCGATAATGAGATCGATAGTCCGATCGATAGTGAGATCGATACTGAGATCGATGTGGTGCCCCGAGGTGTCCCGTGGTGTCCCAAAAAGTGAGATCGATAGTGAGATCGATAGTGAGATCGAGAGGTGTCCCGCGGTGTCCCGTGGTGTCCCTTGGTGTCCCGTTGAGTGAGATCGATAGTGAGATGGATCGTGAGATCGATGTGGTGTCCCGAGGTGTCCCGTGGTGTCCCGAGGTGTCCCGTGGTTTCCCATGGTGTCCCGTTGAGTGAGATCGATCATGAGATCGACAGGTGTCCTGTGGTGTCCCGTGGTGTTCCGTGGTGTCCCGAAAAGTGAGATCGATAGTGAGATCGACAGGTGTCCCGTGGTGTCCCGTGGTGTCCCGTTGAGTGAGATCGATAGTGAGATCGATAGTGAGATCGATCGTGAGATCGATGTGGTGTCCCGAGGTGTCCCGTGGTTTCCCGTGGTGTCCTAAGGTGTCCCGTTGAGTGAGATCGATAGTGAGATCGATAGTGAGACCGATAGTGAGATCGAGCGGTGTCCCGTGGTGTCCCGTGGTGTCCCGTGGTGTCCCGTTGAGTGAGATCGAGAGTGAGATCGATTGAGTCAGATGTTGGTTCCCCCCCTCTCCCCCCCACAACCTCCTTATCACCCGAAGGGAGGTCGTATAGGTATATATAGATTTATGTGTGCATGTATTTGTATGTGTATATGCATCTGACATTGTACATGTGTATGTAGATGGATATGCATATGGATGTGTAGATGTGTACGTGTATACACATGTACATCCACATGTATATGCATGTGCATCTGTATGTATATTCGTAGATATACATGTATTTGTAGGTGTAAACGTATATGATCGCATTCACGCACATGCATATGCATATGCAATTGTATATGTATATGTTATGTAGATGCATATGTATATGTATACGCATGTGTACACGTACAGGTGTACGTATATGTATATGTCAGTGTGCACGTATATGGGTATGTGTATATCTATGTAGTTGTTTTTGTGTATGCATAGTTTTATGTATACACATACGTATAGGTACCGGTAGCTGTATATGTGTATGTATGCGTATATGTATGTGTGTTGGTATGTGCATTTGTATATGCAAACGTATATGTATACATGTTTTTTATACATATGTATGTGGGTGTTTATGCACGCATTCATGTTTATAGACATGCGTGTGTTTACTTGTTCTCTTGTGCACAGGAGATCTACGACAAGATGGCATGCTGGTGCGAGACCAACGACAAGGAGAAAACGAAGGCCTTTCGGGCTCACGAAGGAACGTGTCGTCGACTGCACTTCGGGCCCCTCTCTTCGTGGTGTCACTCGTTCAGTTGCGACGTGGTAATTCCCACTATGCAGAGGCTTGAGTTCAGATCGAAGAAGAACAACTTGCATTAGCATAGCGTTTCGCTGGTCCGCGCGGACCGTCAAACGTTTATGGTCATGATGTTATTCTTCTTCATTCGTTACCGATTCATGATTCCTTCAACGGATAGTTGGCAGCGTTTTCATTGAGGTGCACTACGGCTGCGTCTGATCAACGTTCTTTTTGTTCCGGTGTCCCTGCTTCTTGTTGTTGTTCGTGTGTTTGTTTTGTTATTATGTCGTTTGTTTGTTTCTTGTTGTTGGTGTAGATGTGTATGATGTATACATATATATATATATATGTATGTGTATGTGAATGTGCGCCAGTGGCGTGGTGTCGCTAGCCTGATCAGGCGGTCGAAACATGAGCATCGGATCATCCTGGCCCTTCGACGTTGACGCATCGATAGCTTTGCCTCGTTAATCGCGCGCAGAAAAGTACAAGGAGTGCGGGTGTACTAGACGGTTCAATACAAGTTCGCGCGCCGCAGGTATATTTTGGAGGGTCGCAGGATTGGCCTGTGCAGGGAGTGGGCCCTGTGCGGCATTCGTCCGAGGCGGGGTTTCACCCACGACCACCACATGGGTGATCGATCTTCGGGTACCTCGGCAGACGGCGGACATGGAGGCAATCAGGACCCTGTGGCCACTCTGTGTCCGTGTCCGCCGCCCGTTGGGGTTCCAGGGCGTCGTCGGTCTCCAGGCGGTGGACATGGGACAAATCTAGGGGAACGAACAATGACATAAACATGACATCTTGGAGGTCCGCGCGGATTTCTCGGATGTTTCTGCCATTCTTCGTTCCCCCAAAATCCTCGCCTCGCAATTCGGCCTCGCTTCCGAGGCGATGCTGTCGAGGGGCCAACGCCGAGGTGGGACCGGGCGGGCCCTCCGGCGCAGAGGAGCGGCAGCGTCTTTGGGGGCCGGCAGGAGGCCTCTCGACCAAGACGGTCCTCTCCACTCCTCAGCCCTCTTCCCTCCTCCCTTCTCCTACTCCCTTTCCTTTCTTCAGAATTCGCAGTCCTCCTCCTCCTCCTCCTCCTCCTCCTCCTCTCGCTCCTCGCTCCTACGCCTCCTCCTCCTCCTCCTCCTCCCTTCCCCTTCTCCTGCTCCTCCTCCTCCTCCTCCTCCTTCATCTTCTCCTTCTCCTCCTCCCTTCTCCTCCCTTCTCCTCCCCGCAGAATTCGCACGAATCGAGCAGTGGCCCGAGAGAGACGACGCAAACGCGCTGCTCCGTGGCACTTCGAGGCCATCCTGTGGTCCAGTTCGTACTTTTGAGGTTTGCTGTGTGCTCCCGGGGTTGATTTATTGGCCCTGAGGGGCCCAAACGGCTGACCAGAACCAGAGAGCACGACCCACCGTCATCAGCCAGCGTCTGCCGCCGCCTCTCCTCCCTGAACCACCTCAGGACATCCTAAACAAGTCCGAGGCTCACAACAATCATCTAACAACCCTGTCGCATCGTTGATATATTCTCGGTTTACTCTGGTTCTTCTCCTCCCCCCTTCTCCTCCTCCTCCTCCTCCTCCTCTTTTCCTCCTCCTCTTTTCCTCCTCTTTTCCTCCTCCCTTCTCCCCTCCTCTACCGCTAGGCCCCCAAGTGGCCCGGCGATAAGCAGCAGCAGTCCCGTGGACAGACGCTGTTATTGCCTCGCCTCGCCCCTCCCGTTCCAACCCCCTCCTCCCTCCCCTACCTCCTCCTCCCTCCTCCCTCTCCCTCCCGTCCTCGCGTAGTGTTAGGAGGAGTACTTCTAATTCTAATTATATCGAAGGTGGGGGTCCTGCTCTAGGCAGGTCGCTCATTCAACAATCAGCTTCTGTCGGGGAACGAAGTGCGGAGGGAGGAGGGAGGAGGGAGGAGGGAGGAGGGAGGAGGGACGAGGGAGGAGGGAGGAGGGAGGAGGGAGGAGGAGAAGGAGAAGGAGGGGGTCGCAGTGTGCGCGCCGCCGATAGACGCCCCGGGCCCCCACGGAGTCGGCGGACTGCGGGTCCGGGCCTCTGCTGCCCCTCCGGGGGCGTCGGCGGAGGCGCAGAGGCGGGGCCCCCCTGGGGCTGGTGCGGCAGCCTTGGCCCGCCCTTTTACCAGGCCTCGGATTTTTCGTCCTCGCGGCCGTTCGCTTGTGTCTCTTCGTGTTGGAGTTTTTCGTATATATATATATATGTGCACACGTTTTTTTGTTTGTTTGTTTGTTTGTTTGTTTGTTTGTTTTTTCGATAGTGGTGTGGGGAGCTCAGCTCTCTGGCCAGGAGGCCTCTGACCATGTGTACCGCATCTGGGCCACCGCCCCGCCAGGCGATCTCCGACGCGGAGGCGCGCATCTCGGCCCTGGAGGCGCCCCCGCGCGGGGAGCGGGCGGAGCCTCGCTGGTCCAGAGGGGGGGTGGTCGGGCGACGGCGGCGGCCCTGGCGAGTGTCGGCGGCCGCAGCTCGCTGGCAGGTGTCAGCCCAGACCCCCTCGCCAGGACATGCCCGACCGAATCCCAGACCCCGCCTTCGAGGTTCGAGGATCGACCTCGAAAGCTTTTTTTTTTTTTTTTTTTTTTTTTTTCTCTCCACCTCCAGACCCAGACCCCCTCGAGCCATGAACAAATCATGTATGGAGGTTCTCGGTATTTTCGGCCTCTGGGGGCCCTTCCCACTGGGCCCAAGGAGCGCCCCCCAAAAACGGCTCGGGATGAGAATGCCGGTCCCGGGGAAGGGGTCCAGAGACCTCCGGGGGTCGACGGTGTAAACAAAATCACGACGTCTGGGGTTTGGGAGGTTGGGAAGACGGCGGATATGGACCATCTGCAAATCGGGCGTGTCCCTCGACAGGAGGAATGTTCGAAAATAGTCAACAATAGTCTGGGGACGATTTTGTTCCATTCTTGACAATTAAAAAAACATTTCGTGGTGTAGAAAAATATTTGTTTTTCTCCAAAATCCGCCTGTAGGGGGAATTGCCCGACCTAAACGTACCTGCAATTGTCTTTGCCTGCCTCTCTTTTTGTCGGGTCCACGTCTCCAGTGCAGCGCTCGCTGCCCCTTCCTCCATCCCTCCCACGTGCACTCCCGCCTCCTTCTTGTAACTCCTTTCCTCTCCTCCTCCTCCTCCTCCTCCTCCTCCTCCTCCTCCTCATCCTCTCCTCCTCCTCCTCCTCCTCTCCTCCTCCTCCCCTCCCTCCTCTCCTCCTCCTCCTCCTCCTCCCCCTCGCCTTCCTCCTCCCCCCTCCCTCCTCCTCCTCTCCTTCTCTCGCCTCCTCCTCCTCCTCCTCCTCCTCCTCCTCCTCCTCCTCTCGTTCTCTTTCCCGTGTTCCTGCGAATCCTTTGTTTGATCCTTTGTTCTATCGACATCCCCTTGGGATGGTGCTAGTTGTGGACTGTCGCGAGTTTCCTGCGCCCTTGTGGAGTCGCCAAACGTAGAACCGTCGCCACCTTCCCGTGCTCGTGCGAGTCCAGCGGGGTGCTCCCTCACGCAGCTCTATCTACGCCACGGCGTTGCCTCGCTTTGCCTCGCTTTGCCTTGCTTTGCTTTGCTTTGCCTTGCTTTGCTTTGCTTTGCCCTGCTTCGCCTTGCTTCACCTTGCTTCTCCCTGCTTCGCCCTGCTTCGCCCTGCTTCGCCCTGCTTCGCCTTCCCTCTTTGTCTTGAGCTGCGCTGCCTGGCTCCGCTTCGCGTGCACTGCGCTGCCTTGCACCGCGCTCCTCCGCGTTGCTTTTTTCGTCTTCCTGCCTGGCCTGGCACTGCGCCTGCCGTGCGCCGCACTGCGCCGCGCTGCCTCCGACGGCGCACCGCCTGGGGCGCCGCCTCTTTCGTTGTGACCTCGCCGCTCCCGTGCGCCGCTCTGCGCTCCGAGCGGCGCCCGCGCCATCCCCGTGGTGCGCCCCGACGCTCCTCCCCCCTATCCTATGCGGTAGCACTTCCCCCGGCGGTGAGCCTGGGGCGGAGGTGGGGAGGAGGAGGGGGAGGGGGAGGGGGAG